ACAGCTGAAAACTGTTGTGCTGATTAAAGAAGCAATAAAACTGGCCTTCTTGAGACTAGTTGAGTATCTGGAGCATCAGCAATTGTGGGTTCGATTACAGGCTCAAAATGGCCAGAAACAAATAACTTTCTTCTGAAGCTTGTGAGTCTATTCTTGTTCTTAGAAATGAAGGCTATTCCATGCGAGAAATTGCCAAGAAACTGAAGATCTCGTACAACGCTGTGTACTACTCCCTTCACAGAACAGCGCAAACTGGCTCTAACCAGAATAGAAAGAGGAGTGGGAGGCCCTGGTGCACAACTGAGCTAGTTTGAGAAACAGACGCCTCACAGGTCCTCAACTGGCAGCTTCATTAAATAGTACCCGCAAAACATCAGTCTCAACGTCAACAGTGAAGAGGCGACTCCGAGATGTTGACCTTCTAGGCAGAGTTGCAAAGAAAAAGCCATATATCAGACTGGCCAATAAAAAGAAAAGATGGGCAAAAGAACACAGACACTGGACAGAGGAAGATTGGAAAAAAGTATTATGGACAGACGAATCGAAATTTGAGGTGTTCGGATCACAAAGAGGAACATTTGTGAGACGCAGACCAAATGAAAAGATGCTGGAGGAGTGCTTGATGGCATCTGTCAAGCAGGGTGGAGACAATGTGATGGTCTGGGGGTGCTTTGGTGGTGGTAAAGTGGGAGATTTGTAAAGGGTAAAAGGGATCTTGAAGAAGGAAGTCTATCACTCCATTTTGCAACGCCATGCCATACCCTGTGGACGGCGCTTGATTGGAGCCAATTTCCTCCTACAACAGGACAATGACCCAAAGCACAGCTCTAAATTATGCAATAACTATTTAGGCAAGAAGCAGTCAGCTGGTATTCTGTCTATAATGGAGTGGCCAGCACAGTCACTGGATCTCAACCCCATTGAGCTGTTGTGGGAGCAGCTTGGCCGTATGGTACGAAAGACGTGCCCATCAAGCCAATCCAACTTGTAGGAGGTGCTTCAGGAAGCATGGGGTGACATCTCTTCAGATTACCTCAACAAATTGACAACAAGAATGCCAAAGGTCTGCAAGGCTGTAATTGCTGCAAATGGAGGATTATTTGACGAAAGCAGAGTTTGAAGGACACAATTATTATTTCAATTAAAAATCATTATTTCTAACCTTGTCAATGACTACATTTCCTATGCATTTTGCTACATTTCCTATTCGAATTCATTTCATGGATGTTTTCATGGAAAACAAGGAAAATTCTAAGTGACCCCAAACTTTTGAACGGTAGTGTATATTATGTAGAATACTGAACAGTATATGGAATACTGAATAGAATATGGAATACTGAATAGAATATGGAATACTGAATAGAATATGGAATACTGAATAGAATATGGAATACTGAATAGAATATGGAATACTGAATAGAATGGCTTCTTCTGACTGACTGTTCATCATTTTTTTACCTGTCCTAAAATACACCTACATTACATCCATCCAGCTATCCAAGTGCAACTGTATTATGACCCGCCAAATATAAACACATTTGGCTGGCTGTGGTGCAAACCTTCCTACCAAGGGTTCCATGTAATACCGATTTAATATTGGGGCGGCAGGTAGCTTAGTGGTTAAGACCGTTGTGCCAGTAACCGAAAGGTTGCTGGTTCTAATCCCCGAGCAGACTAGGTGAAAAATCTGTCGATGTGCCCTTGAGCAAGGCACTTAACCCTAATTGCTCATGTAAGTCGCTCTGGATAAGAGCGTCTGCTAAATGACTAAAAATGAAAAAAAAACATATTGACATTTATGCCCAGCAAAATAGAAGTCACTGCATCATGACAGTTTAACGTGGGTTAAATCCAGGGCTGTGTCCAGGGGCGGACTTAGTGATTTGGAGGCCCGAGGTAGAGGCCAGTCTGAGGCCCCATTCCCAAACCTGTCAGTGGCCCAACCTCCTCACTCCACTCTTATAAAGGAAGGCTGTGGGTTTAGTGTGGCGTTTGCCCCAGAAACTGTCTGTGGGGATATTTGTACAGTGGAGGTAGGTTGACCATGCAGGCAGGCTACTAACTAGAGTATAATTCTCCTATAGTAGCCCAGTAGTAGGACTACTTAAGAAGAACATCTTAAATGGAGAAACATTTAATGGTAGAACAGAATCCCCCTTCACAGCTCCCTCTGCTGCTCTCATTTGAGGCTAACTGAATCGGAAAGTACTCAGACACACACACACACACACAATGTGATGGCATATAGCCAACCTCATGCACATCATTTTACTGTAGCAAAGAACATAAGGGTCCAAGCATTGGCTATAGGGAGATGTTAGGGACTGGAATGGGCATCGGAGACCGTGAATAAAGATGAAGTCTACAGGGAGATGTTAGGGACTGGAATGGGCATCGGAGACCGTGAATAAAGATGAAGTCTACAGGGAGGTGTTAGGGACTGGAATGGGCATCAGAGACCGTGAATAAAGATGAAGTCTTGTCACTCTATTGCATAATTGTTCAGCTCAGCAGGATTTTATGCCCAGATGACAGTCTTCTGGCACGAATACCATTTAGCTCCAGGCTATGAATAAGGATACTTTTCTAACTATGTCACATAGGCCCCTACACATGAAGACACTTTCTTCAATGTTTTCACTATCCTCTGGGCCTTGACATTGTCAGTCAGTCAATGAAGATGAGTTTACAGATATGCAGAACTAAACATGATGTATAACATGCAATGTAATTTATTACGGAAGAAGAAGAAGAAGAAGAAGAAGAAGAAGAAGAAGAAGAAGAAGAAGAAGAAGAAGAAGAAGAAGAAGAAGAAGAAGAATGTATGTAGATGAATAATGAAAACTGATATATATATTAGACAGAAATGTGCATTCATTTTATTTAGGAAAGAATACATGTTTAGTGTCTGACACTGTCTGTATTAGGTTGCACGGCAAGAAGATGCAATTCTAGAACATAATAGAATAGAATAGAATAGAACAGAACAGAATAGAATAGAATAGAACAGAACAGAACAGAATAGAACAGAATAGAACAGAACAGAATAGAATAGAATAGAACAGAATAGAATAGAAAAGGCAATTCTATTATTGTATGGGTAGGAGCAGGCAGACAAGCTAATAATACAACTAAAATCAGCATAAACGCGCCCAGCTACTGGCAATGTAACATTCTTTCCATAGCACTCTATTCACTCTGCCTGCCCTGCTTTGTCTTTTTTTCCGGGAAAATCTTCCAGAGAGAAACCTGACACTGCCATAACATCTCCATGGAGACAAAACATCTGAACTCTCCAAATATGGACATGGAAGTGCAACGCAATCACGTGCAGCGTAATCACGTTGTGACGTCAAAGCAACGGTACGCTCCGTGTGTTTATCTGAAATTGCCTTAACCGTGAGAATATTGGCAAGAGATTAACGATAACAAATAATTAACATGATCTTGTAGTTTAAAAATACATGATATCCTTGATGAATTTATATAGTTCAAGATTACAACTATTTATGGAAAGAGTATTTCATATAATATAAGAATTAGCCTATATGGTCTATTCTGATACAAATATCATTATAGGTCTATACAGACCTGAAAAATAGCCTATATATGAGAATTAAATGTATTCCATTAAAACAGTCAACAACTAAGATTTGTCAATGATATATTTGTATTTGTCTGTGTTCTGTTTGTTTTTTTGCATCTGACCAACAATTAGTCAAAAACTTTGAAGGTAAAAAAATAAGCTATGTCATAAAATACATGGCACTGTGTTTTCAGCGGAAACCTGAAAGAAATATCACCTTACAGTAAAATAATGTCCACATTACTTAAACTGTAATTTTACCTGTTAAGACACAATCTGATAACGGTATCCACACAAACCACAGTCTAGTTTCACATTTATATTTAAGGATGAAACACAAACATATAGCACCTTTTTGAATCAAATGGTACGATTTTTCATGCATTTAATGCCATCAATATATACATGTATCTCTCTCAAGAGCAGTGGTGTAAAGTACTTAAGTAAAAATACTTTGAGGTACTACTTAAGTCGTTTTTTTGGGGGGGGTATCTGTACTTTACTTTACTATTTATATTTTTGACTACTTTTACTTTTACATCACTACATTCCTAAAGACACTTTAATACTTTTTACTCCATACATTTTCCCTGACACCCTAAAGTACTAGTTACATTTTGAATGCTTAAGCAGGCCAGGAAAATTGTCCAATTCAGGCACTTATCAAGAGAACATCCCTGGCCATCTCTACTGCCTCTGATCTGATGGACTCACTAAACACAAATGCTTCCTTTTTAAATGATGCCTGAGTGTTCGGAGTGTGCCCCTCGCTGTCCGTAAATAAATAAAAAACCAGAAAACGGTGCCACCATGGTTTGCTTAACATAAGACATTTGAAATGATTTATACTTTTACTTTTGATACTTAAGTATATTTTAGCAATTACATTAACTTTTGATACTTAAGTATATTTTAAACTAAATACTTTTAGACTTTTACTCAAGTAGTATTTTACTGGGTGACTTTCACTTTTACTTGAGTCATTTTCTGTTAAGGTATCTTTACTTTTACTCAAGTAGGACAGTTGGATACTTTTTCCACCGCTGCTCAAGAGAGCGATCTGCCCTCACAGGTGCACCAATATATCTGGAAAGAAGTTAACCTTTCATTTGGTGCTAAAGGTTAAAGGTTAACAAAACATCACAACAAGCACAACAAAACATCAGGGGATAGATAGATAAATAGACCATAGCTTATTGGTTCAATATCAACCTCATGGACCAGTTTCCCGGACACAGATCTAGCCCTAGCCCTGGACTAAGACGCACCTTTCAATGGAGAATCGTTATTGAACATGCTATTACTTTTTAATAAGACTAAGCTTAATCTGTGTGTTGTGGGGAACTAGCCCTATTTCTCCAACCAGTTCATAACAACTTCACAAGGCCAACAGAGTGGGAGAGTTGAGATTACCGTTAATCAAATCAGAACTACCACCAACAACTCCTTTGAGGCCCTCGGAGCTCTCACAACACCCCTCATCCTCAGCCATATGGTCTACCTCTGAGTAATTGAAGGAAAACACAGAGCGGTAACTGCTACACGTAGGAGTGTCACTGGAAGACATCATCGTGGGGTTGCAGAGGGGCTCCAGATCGTTGGCCACAGACTTGTACAGGGTCTCCCAGTCTGACAGGCAGAAGGGGCCCCCGAGGAGGTCGATGTCAGGAACGGACGGGGCGGTCTCAGGGGCCACAGCCAGCTCCAGGCTGGGGACCAGGTCCTGTAGGTCACGTTGGTCGAAGTCTAGGTCCTCCATGGGTTCTTCCTCAGCACTGGAGCACAGTAGGATGTTGGAGTTACCCAAGATGGCCGAGGCAGAGATGGAGATGCTTGGCACGGGGACGGAGTCCATTTCATGGCGTAAGGGGCCCTTGGACACAGTCACTTCTGTCGCACTGCCTTCTGGGAGTTGGAGTTTGTCTGAGTTCTCCAAGATGGAGAGCAGCTGGGCAGAATCTGCGGTGTCTTGTAGCATGCCTTCAATGTCATCGTTGATCTCATGTTCGACATCGTCCTCAGCGGTGGCTAGTTTGCAGGCTGGTTGGTGGGTGGATAGGATCTGTTCCAGTCTCTCTTTCTCTTTCAGGAGGTGGCCTATCTCTGTCTGCAAGGCCTCTTTGTCCCCCTCCAGCTGATCAGTTTCCTATAAGGGGAGAACCACACATCAATCAATTAACGTTTATGAAATGACAATTAAAAAGAAGATACATGGTCTAGTAAGAAGTATGGAGAGCCTCAATCACTTTGGGTGAAATCCATTCTGCTAAGCATCTCCACAAGGACATGACAGTCGTTTTTCACATGAGAACAAGGTGCACTTACGGCTTGCAGGGTGTCGGTGAGCTCCCGCCGTCTGTTGCGACACTTGGCTGCGGCGACTTTATTCCTCTCTCTCCTGATCTTCCTCCTCTCATCCTCTTCTGATAAAGGCTAGATCAGTCACAACAAATGAGAACCCTCTAAATGCACATCCAGACCTGCATGAGGAATCTTGCCATCTCGTCACTTGGCTTGGAAGGCTAATTCAACATTTGGCAAAGGGTAGCCCTAAAAAAAAGACTACACATCTTTCAATGCAGTGTCAGAAAATATGCCATTGTTGCAGAATGAAGACTCTCCTTGGCTAGGCTACAAATAATAATTTGCCATTTAGCAGACGCTTTTATCCAAAGCGACTTACAGTCATGCGTGCATACGTTTTTTTGTGTATGGGTGGTCCCGGGGATCGAACCCACTACCTTGGCGTTACAAGCGCCGTGCTCTACCAGCTGAGCTACAGAGGACCACAAATTCAATGCGTAGTAACAGGCTCTACACTAGACCCAATCAAACACTCAGACGTGCGTAAAATGATACAACATTGGCACAGTCTATCTGGCCAGTCACGTGCACGCACGCACATCAGACATTCAAGACGATTTTTTAAAAGATGTATCAAAAATCTCCTTGATATTTAACAAGGCTTACCTGTTTTTTCCCTTTCTTGCAGGTGGATTGTTCCTTGCTGCCTTCCACTCTGGAAGACGATTGGGTTGCGCCATGCGCTCTGCTAAGCTTTGCACGTCCACTGGAGGGGGAGGAGGAGAAGGAGGAGGAGGAGGAGGAGGAGGAGGAGGAGGAGGAGGACGGGGGGGAGGAGGAGGAGGAGGAGGATGGGGGGGAGGAGGAGGAGGAGGAGGAGGACGGGGGGGAGGAGGAGGAGGAGGACGGGGGGGAGGAGGAGGAGGAGGAGGAGGGGGAGGAGGAGGAGGAGGAGGGGGGGGAGGGGGAGGAGGGGGAGGAGGAGGAGGAGGAGGGGGAGGGGGAGGAGCAGGAGAAGGGCGAGACTGATGCTGATGTGATGTCAGTGGTCGGTTGGACCATCCAGTGCAGATCCATGGAGGTTGAGATTGCAGTGACCGTTGGAACAAATGGAGACTGCCATGGAGAGTCTATTTCACCACAGACATCCTGCAAAAACAACACAAGGAATGTTGAATTTATTGAATCCAATCAATTGAATCCGATGACATGCATGGTTGACCTTTCCAAAAGGGGTGTGATGTGCATCAATGATTTTGTTATTGGCATGAAATTTATAGCACAATTTATGGTGTATCTACAAAGATAATTCTGTACTAATTTACAACGTCTATAATTAGGGTTGTAATTTTTTATTTATTAGGGTTTTAAATGATTTCTGACATCACACATAATTAATCAAATGACAGTCCATCTCATGTTGCCAATAATAGCTAAACCCATCGTTCATCATCATCATATTTTGGCATGATGGCTTCAGTCAAGTCTTCAATATAATTTGGTCAGCATGGACCCCCTATACCACTCCAGGAATGTCAGGAATTTGAAGGTGATCAGTCAACTGTCTGGCGGTACCATATGGTACCTACCTGCCCAATACAAGCTCTTTCAGCATGCCATACATATCTGGATAGGTAACGGGTAAAGGGGCTGTCACTGCTACATTTCACTGGAGCGGTTCACGATCTAGTTGGATGGGTTGTAGATTCAGAATCAGTCTGTCTATTAGTTAGGCCTAATATGATCAATAAATGATTGATCTTGCCACAAACTCAATGCAACACAAACATAATGAACGTTTCCAAAAATGCCAACGCGATTCCATTCAAATGTTTTCTTTTTTTTTTCTCCAAAATAAGATCCATTCATTCATACCTGCGACATGCTACTGTCCATTGACGATGCGTTCGTGGGTGAGTCTGGAGATCGCTGGCTGCACCGGGCGACGTCTCCGGTAGGCGATGCTGAGCAGCTGCTGCTCGTGCTGCGAGACGAGCTCGAGGAGTCGTCGTAGTCTGGGCTCGAGTCCGGATACATGATGATGCCTTATCAAATTTTTTTTATTAATAAAGCTTTTTAAAAAAAAAAAATCACTATCCCTCTTATATTATCGTATGGCTATTATCCACTGTCGTGCTGATGTCACCTCTGTGCATCACTTTTACTGCTTTCACGTGAACGGTAGTTGCTGCAGATAGTGGAGCGCGCCTCCTTTTATTGTGAGCTTGAATTTTATTAATGAAATATGTGTGGAGAGACCGTACCATTCCACAAAGAGGGGAGGGGTGTTGTAGACTAGAATAAACAGGCTTGTTTTAGCAATGGAGCTGCAATATTACCCACACACACATTTTAACTGAGATGAGAGCGGTCTCGTTGTAATTCAGATTAATTGTACTACCGTACTCAAAATACGACCACATGATCGCATATTGAGCCCCTCTTCAAGAAATGGATGCCTGCATTGTATCCACCGCCGTATGAATGAACTACGTCACATCATAGGCTATATCCTGTGCAGCATTTGCATTACACACGTTATAACCTGTTCCCTTTGTAAAAAAAAAAAAAAAAAAACATTGTTTCATAATATACACATGGCCACGTTTTAGATAATGCACATAACAAATACTGTATGTACCACGCTATATATAGCCTGTACTGAAATAGCTTTGAAAATCGTCTGCCAATCTTGTATTTCATATAGCCTAGAGGCAGTGTTTCTCAAACCTCCTCCTCCAGAAACACCCAGCCGTTCCATGTATGTGATCTATTTCAGAGCTAGAACACCTGATTCAACTCGTCAACTAATCAGCAAGCCCTTGATTAGATGAATCAGGGTGAGATAATTCAAGGCTAAAACCAAATTGCGACACGTCTGGGGGGTCCCCGAGGAGATGTTTGAGAACCACTGGGCTACACCGCTGACCTCCAATAATAATATGCCATTTAGCAGACGCTTTTATCCAAAGCGACTTACAGTCATGCGTGCATACATTTTCTTTGTGTATGGGTGGTCCCGGGGATCGAACCACACTACCTTGGCATAACAAGCGCCGTGCTCTACCAGCTGAGCTACAGAGGACCACATGTCCTCCAGAACACAGCAATCCTCTGTTGGCTTCTGTATCCACACAACCTAGTCTTTATAATATTTGATAACCTGTGTTCTTTGTTATAATCATTCAATAACATCAGTATAATTGTCGATATATCGGAATAGAATAGCAGATGTTTTCTGCATCCACTCAGGTAATGATGCTTTTTTTTTTTTTTTTACAGCGAATAAATAAAAGTGTTATTCATGTTATAACACACATTGAAAAGGGCTTGGTTGAGGTTTTGTACCTTTACCCAGCTGCTACAGAGACGCCTCTCTAGTTGTGAGATTTCAGCTGTGATAATTATTATTGCATGGCGCGCGACTTCAACTACCGCTCCAGCAACAGATTTCACGCTGCAAACAGATAACCAATGAGAGAGGAGACAATTACGACCATATATGGAGTTTCCGGTTCACATATTGCGTCATACTTTGAGTACTGGGCCAAAATTCAACCATTCAAACACTGTAGTGTGGCCTAGAGAAAAAAAAACTGAAATTATACCTTGAAATGAACTCATGTCGGTCATTCATTCTATAAATAGAGGCGTCATAACGTTGGATAATATATGCATATAATAATGATTAAATCTTATTCTTGCAATTTCGTCACAGCTGCTGTACTCTATTATTATATAGGAGTTGGAGGCAGTGGGTATTCCCCAAATGGCACCCTATTCCCTATAGAGAGCACTTATTTTGAGCAGAGCCCATAGGGTATTAGTGAAGCACTAGGGAATAGGAAGACATTTGGGACGCCCCATTTGGGACGCGTTCCTTTGTCATTCTCGTTCTCTTGCACATTAATGGTATTTTTTCTGAACAGCTACTTCAGTAAATATTACCGAGAGCTATTTTTAGTTCGGATGACCTCACAATTCCTCTCAAGTAGCGGCCATGGGCGATGGAACCATGGAGATGGAACGTGAGAATATAATAAAGAGACAGACAGACAGACAGACAGACAGACAGACAGACAGACAGACAGACAGACAGACAGACAGACAGACAGACAGACAGACAGACAGACAGGGGCCTCCCTGTGAATGAGGGTCTGCCTCGCGCTTCCCGGCAACCACGCCCCCTGTATATTTACTGGTAGTTCATTAGGGTGCGCTGCCTCTCTTTCATTCTGTCACCAGGTCGCTGGTCGGGAAGAGGCTGAGATATGAGCTTCAGACAATTATAGACCCCTGTCCTAAGTTCAGGTCAAATACATGTTTTCACTGGGGTCACTCAAGCGTGAATGAGGGAAACGCTTTGAAACTTTGGAACACCATCTTTAGATCTAGAGCTTATTAGGGTCTATAGATGACATCACTGGGGATTTTGGGAAACAAAACAGAGTGACAGATCACAAAGTTGAGCCGACCCTTTGATGGGAGAGAAGTCTGAACAGGCAACTGTTTGTGCACTGTTGAAAAGAAGCAACACTTCAAAGGACTTATTTCCGATTACTTTTAAATTGCATTTATGGGAAGGCTAATTCTAATATAGGCTAAATAACACTTGAACACTCACAAGCAATGCATAAACATTTAATTGTCCAAATTATAGCCTAGAACTCAAGCATTTGATCCTTTGGCATACAAAGAGCTTTCTCTGATGTGTATAACAATTTCAAAAAGCTGTCTGAGTGACTATAAAGTAGGCTCAGCTTGTGTAAAACCTTGACAACACACATTATATTTAGGCATATACAATGGCTGGCAATACAGCCTAAATAAACAGCAATTGACTGTAAATTCATAACATCTGAAATCCCCTCAAAAATAAACATTGCATTAATATATGCACTGTAGTCCAATGTTGTGTCACCCTATATTGAGTCTTGCCAACAACTCTGGCTACCTAAATAAACAGTTGTCAACTAACTATGCCATCCCTTTCCATTTGCTCCGGCTCCGAAAGACTGCTATGCAGAGCCAGAGCGTCACTGGCGAGAAGGGGTGGAACGTTGCCGGGACAACGCAGACTGTTCAACAAAACATGAGCCGGTGAAACATGGCCCAGCGCAAAGTTTATAGTCCCTCGGAGAGAACGCGTATAGGGCATATTTAAATGCGTGGGGGGGGGGAACGAGGGAACCCTTTTGTAGACTACTGGTCTACTAGAGTTACGTTTTCCATATTTAAGCATGTTTATTAAAAGCAGAATAGAAGCAAAACAATAGTTTGTTTTGTACATTAGGCCTATGAAAAATAGATTTTCTTTAGGACATTCATGCCTGTCCAGGACTTCAAAATAATAATTGAGTCCAGGGCGGCAAGTAGCGTAGTGGGTAAGAGCGTTGTGCCAGTAACCGAAAGGTCGCTGGTTCTAATCCCTGAGCCAACTAGGTGAAAAATCTGTCGATGTGCCCTTAAGCAAGGCACTTGACCCTAATTGCACCTGTAAGTTGCTCTGGGTAAGAGCGTCTGCTAAATGACTCAAATGTAAATATTTAAATGCCCAGCTGTCTTCTTTACTTCTGTGTATTTTGAGCTGATGATGCACATAATCTCACCACGTGCCTTCTCACTACAATGACTAGGGATCCCCCCAGTCACTAGGCTACTGAATATAAAGCATTCTTGGAGAACACCTTTGTTAAGATCATCTAAGTGATTTAAGTCTACTGTACTCAACCACTACAACCCGAAAAGTACACCTGGCCTACCTGTTGCTCCACATACTGCCACTCCCTCCGGTCACCTCACCTGGAACCAAGAGATACAAACATTGCCTGGGGCCAAAGTACATGCATAGTCTGGGGAATGTTGTTGGCTTCAGTTCAGCAGCTGTATGGTATTATAATTCCTCTCTGTTTATGATTTGTGCAATACTTCTAGAATAGCCGTATTTCTATAGGCCTATTCTATATACATATAGGTCATTGATCCGTTTTTCAGGTATTAGTAACGCCTGTATATTGTTGAATCAGTTTACACTCATGAGGAACTTTAGCATTCTTTTCAATGACCTAACTGAAATCATACATAATGTCAAATGCTACATAGCCATTGGGACCCTCCTAAATTGAGGACATAACATCATTTACACATCATTAGGCCTACCCCTTGTGATTACAATGTCAAGTTGTTCAATATTTTCTTCCACAAATAGGACAGTTGCATATTATCACATATCATCAATAATTCTGTGGTCTAGATTAGGCCTAGGGTGTGTACCACATTGGTATTTATACATAGGCACAGGCCTACAGGCTGTGAAACTAGCCTGGATAGGATAATTAGCCTATATTCCACATTATCACCATGGGACAATATATGTCCTATGGTAAAACACAAATAACACAGTATTAAAGCCTATGGATTACTATAGCATTGTGTTGAAAGTAGCTACAAATAACGTTAACCATAAATAGCTTTACTTTGTTCTATTCTGACACAGCTGACCATTAGTGTCCCATATTCCAGTTTTCATAACAGCCAGTTCTGTGTTGTTGTCTTTCCTTAACGTCGTGTTCCTTCTCTTGCACATCTATCATTCCAGTGTTAATACTAATTGTAATTATTTTGCACTATGGCCTATTTATTGCCTTACCTCCATAACTTGCTACATTTGCACACACTGTATATATATTTTCTGTTGTATTTTTTGACTTTATGTATTTTTACCCCATATGTAACTCTGTGTTGTTGTTTTTATCGCACTGCTTTGCTTTATCTTGGCCAGGTCGCAGTTGTAAATGAGAACTTGTTCTCAACTGGCTTACCTGGTTAAATAAAAGTGAAATAAAATAAATAAAAAAGGTCTAGGTTCAAAATATACATACAGGAGGATTCTAATATCCCAGAACTCTAGCAATTCATGGGACTATAATCAATGGAGCTGGTCCCAATGAATTTGTTGTTTTCGAACGCTTCTGCATGGAATTACTTCATTGTGTTCAACCTTCCAATCTTCGACCTCGGTTCCTGTCAGCCAATTGTAGCCGATCTCGGGATAGTTCTGTATTTCCCAGCAGGGCCCGCCCATTTAACAGGATGCACCATATAAGGTAAATTACGTCGACGGGATCTCCTTCTGGAACGTTCCATTTCTTGGGAAAGGCAACTTTGAAGTTCTAACTTTTTATCTTATGCCAATAAACAAACAAAAAAAGCATGTTTAAGTCCAGAATTAATTTGTTGGATACTTTAAAATGTGTTACAAGTCTCAAAATGAGTGTTTAGTATGTTCATAACCCGTTGTTATGTTGCGCTCCTCACCCATTCAAGGGAGGTACGTCCCATTCACGTCACGATTATTTCTTCGCCAGACCGTTAGCAAGCCTATAAAAACCATGCGAACTGTCAGAGTCTGTAGTCAAACTTTTCGCAGCAGAAGAAAGGACGGAAGAATCGAAAGAGACACGACAACACAGGGTAGGGTCACGTTCAACACCAGCTAACCTGCTAAAAGGATCACTTGACTTTGACAGCTTTAGCCAACGCCTACTTTCGTTTAACTTTATTTGGAATTTATCGAGTTTCTTCGTGATCTCCTGAAACGATGATGTACTCCGCTTTCAACACGGATTGTGACTCTTCTTCTCGCTGTAGTACTGCTTCTCCAGCCGGCGATAACCTGGCTTACTACAACTCTCCTGAGGGATCTTACTCCAGCATGGGCTCTCCCCAATCTCAGGTATATTGATCATTTTAATGTAGCATATTGACTTTCTTTCAATTTCATTAAATACATGTTATAAGTGTAATAACCACGCAGTAATGGTGGATTATAAACCATGCAATCCCAGCGATACTGTATGCAGCTAAACCTTATTAATGTAGTCGTATCTTATTATATATGTTATATTATAACAGTGCATGAAGTTTCCCTTCTAGTAGATGCTGAAGCATATAAAACTAGACGCTTCTAAAGCATCTCTGCTCTACAACAGAACACTGACTATACACTCCTGTAGTTCATTCATTCAGCAAGCAGCGAGGAAACTCTAGAGAAGTTAAGCGTCATGGCTTACATCACTAGGGATATTTATAAACCCTATGGCTTTTAATAGACTTACCAACCGGCTTCATTAATATGCATGAGTGAAATGATGCAGTGCATTGCTTCAGCAGCATCACCCACCCTCCCCAGTACCCTACCCTCTGTCTATATATTCTCCTGTACTGACTGATTTCCCTCCTTATTGTGTAACAGGACTTCACAGACCTGACTTCAGTGTCCAGTGGTTCGTCCTTCATCCCTACTGTTACAGCCATCTCTGCCAGCCCAGACCTGCAGTGGATGGTCCAGCCGCTTTCCTCTGTGGCCCCTTCTCACAGAGCCCATCCCTACAGCGCCAGCCCCCCAACCTACACTAAAGCCATGAGGAACAAGGGCCACAGCTCTGGGCGCAGAGGCAAAATGGAACAGGTAATTCTCCTAACTGAGCTTAAAGCTGGTCTATGGGACTATACTGTTGCAACAAATAATGTACACCACTTTCGTTTTGAATATGGAGAACAGTGCGTGTAGGGTTTAATGATGACATTTGCATTGAATTGGAGGACTGCTGGAACTTAATTTTCGTGTTTTTTTTTTTTCTTTCTTCTATAGCTTTCTCCTGAGGAGGAGGAGAAGAAGAGAGTCCGTAGAGAGAGGAACAAGCAAGCAGCAGCTAAATGCCGCAACAGGAGGAGAGAGCTCACTGACACTCTGCAGGGTGAAACTGACGAGCTGGAGGATGAGAAGTCTGCTCTCCAGAACGACATCGCCAACCTGCTCAAAGAGAAAGAGAAGTTAGAGTTCATCCTTGCAGCCCACCAGCCCATCTGCAAGATCCCCTCTGATATGGACACTGTTTTCCCCACCGTCGTCCCCAACCACGGGGTCTCCATCCAGCTGTCCCAGCCTCAGCGCATGGTCTCCAGCTCTGCTGCTCCCCTCACCTCCACCTCGGCCTCCATATTCTCCAGCAGTCCCTTCCTGTCCACCGCCTCAATCTCAGTCTCCGACGTCAAGTTGGCCGACCTGGACACAGCCTGCCTGGAGGAGTCCCTTTCTCTCCTCACCAAGACTGAGTTGGAGACGGCCCGGTCGGTGCCCGAGGTCGATCTGACCAGCTCCCTGTACACCCAGGACTGGGAGCCCCTCTACAGCACAGCCAATAATGACTTTGAGCCCCTGTGCACACCTGTGGTCACCTGCACCCCGTCCTGCACTACCTACAAGTCTTCGTTCGTCTTTACCTACCCAGAGGCTGAGGCTTTCCCTACCTGTGGCGTGGCCCACCGGAGAGGCAGCACCAGCAATGACCAGTCCTCTGATTCCCTCAACTCCCCTACCCTACTAGCCCTGTGAGGAGAACTTCAAGTTGAGTCCCAAATGTCTCCATATAGTGTGCACTGCTTAGGGCTCTGGTCAAAAGTAGTGCACGTGACATTTGGAACCCCCCCCCCCCCCCCTCTTCTTCCACACAACACGACTTCCTCTAGAGCACATTTGGCACTTCATGGGCAGTCCCAGTATGTGGTAGATGTGCAGAATGATCGCAGGGCTATGGAATGGACTTGGACACACACAACCAGGAAGCAACATAAATGATTTGTTTACTAAGTTTTGTCTTGACTATAATCGGCTATTACTTGCCTCTTCAACTATATAGCAAGTGAAAGCATGTTTAACTTATAACACATAATAGTTTGGGTTTACAAACCGTATATTGATTTTATGGCACTTGATAACAAAGTTGTTGTTAGTGTTGATGACTTGTGTTCTTCAGAACAATATAGTTATCATGACCGGTTTGTTTTCTGGTTGTTTGAATGTGAACTTTGATGTTTGTGATATAAAAAAAAAAAAAACATGAGCTTGTCTAACCATGGTGTGGTCTATATCCTAGTATGAGTTTTCTGTGAAAACGTTACATTTAAATTTCATAAATTAAAAACTAATTTTTTTTATATGTATAATTTAAAAAATGAACTACAAAGCAAACTGAACATTTGCAAACCTTGTAACAAATAAAATGTATATGAAATATTTAAAAATTATCTCTTTGCTTCCTTCTGTTGTCTAAATGAACACACAATCCAATCTGCACTGAAAAATAACAACTTTATATCGAAGAGAACAGTATTCTATAGGGGGCATTTACACAATTGTCTAAAATTGGACCATTAAAAAGATGGTGGAGTACTCCTCTCCAGCGTCTCCATGCTCTGTCTATTTATTGTTCCATCGCTCTGTTGCCATGGTTGACTCTACGTCAGAGTGCTCTGACGTCAGCGCGTACTTATCTTCTCTTTTTTTTTCACTGGGCAACGGAACGCTGCGCGGTGACCTCCACTTCCGTGCCCAAATATAGATTTTGCTTCGGCTCAACCAACCGGCTGGTAATATTTCTGGAACGTACTGGGCATAAATCGCGTTAGCGATCTATTCCTTTCCATTTTGTAACCCGTTTTACTTGAGCAACTATGTCAATCAGAAAAATTATATTCTCTTCTGAATCACAGGATGCTCGCTGTCGGGATGCATGCATCAACAGCATATGGCATTTTGAGCTAATTAGGATTTAGCTAAATGTCTGACAATGTACTAACCAGATGCAATCTTATTTTTTGTATTATGAAGGGCTCGCTTATTACTATTAGATCCCCCTGGACGGCTACTGACACCGTCTGGGGAAATGTTCGCTAAATTCGGAACAATATAGGCTAAAACTTTTGCATGAAACAATACTGAACGGCAAGATTGCAGGATGTTTGTCGTATCTCGTTGCTAAGCAACATTGCCAAAAAAAAAAAAAAGCCAGTATCATGCTTTAGAATGTGCACCTGCAGAATGTTTAGGTCTATATCTGACACTCAAAGGGATTTATGTGTTGCATAGTTTATCCACTTGTATTTTGTTGCAAAGAAAATGTCCCTATGGGAGAAAATATTCAATTGTATTATGTAATCTTTACCCCCATACAGATAAAGGTTGTGTAAAAGGCCTATGTCTAACTTCTGAACTAAAGAAGAAAGGTGCTCAAGAAAATGGTGAGGCATGGGGCTGCTGATATGGGCTATATTTGAAAGCAGAAACCTTTAGACTAAGTGGACTGTTCTGGGCATAATGGAGATAGTAGGGCCACAGGCCACAGACAGCTATAACAGAGTGGTGGTCTGGTGAGAAGACTCCCGTTTTAAGAGCAAAGCGATGTTTTATTAAATTATTCATACACCCCACAACCCCCTGCTCAACTCGGATGCTAAACTTGGCTTTTTAAGGTACAGACCACACAGTCTGGTCACACTGTAGAGAATGAGGTTTTTATTCATAGGGAAGAAAATAGTTAGCTTGTTGGGAAGACATATCAGGAGGAGTTGTGGTTGTGGTGGTCTGAAGGAGCATGGGTCCAAGCTCAGGGAGGTCTGTAATGGCCTTAACTGACAGGTGGGATCAGGTTGTCTTTAGAAGTCTGTACCATGATCATGAGGAGGTTGATTATGCGATACTTGACCAGTGTGCCTAGGTCTATTTATCTCACATCTCTGTCACTACAGCATACCATATTACATTTACAGCGTCACTCACATGCTATAAGAGACAGGCCCAAGATGTGGATGTTTGCTGCTTGCCATGTACCCTCATCCACCCCCTTCCTACTCCACCCCAACACCAGTCATTTATCAAACCCATTCACTCATTTCCTATGTCCCCATATTTCCCTTGTATAGACTTAATAGAGGCAGTTTGCTCAATGACTGTACTCAGGAAAGGCTCAGTACGTGCTCTAGTGAACGAGAGGAGGGCGGGTCGTTGTAAGTCGTTGTAAGGAAGTCAGCAATCACCTACTGAAAGACACAATGAACATCCAATCTCCTTTTGACTGACTGTTCTGTCATAGACACACCCTTTTGTGCAATAGTTACAAAGTATCACAGCTGTTACACAGTGGTTCTTTATTGGGCCTCCTGATCTTTAACCCCTTAATGTGAATTCTTCCAAAGAATGTGCTCCAAAACCCCGGAGGAGTTGAAACAGTTAAGGGTTAAAACTGCACCAATATTGATGGTTTACCCTGTAGCTGTAATCAACATCTCTGTTCAAATCCCTTGCTAGAACTCATGTTCACAATCACAAGCATCTTGTTTTGATGTATGTGAGAGAGAGAGAGACTAGTCCTACTGACTCTATCCTCTTCATGTCGTAAGCATTCAGCACCCACACTCAACACCTTTAAGATCTGACAAAATACCATTGTCCCCCCCCCCCCCCCCCCACCCACCCACCCAACAAAAGTATATATATTTTTAGAGCATTTTCTCTCAGCAGCGAGTGATGCCCCAATGTTTCTCCCAGCAGCGAGTGATGCGCTAATGTTTCTCTCAGCAGCGAGTGATGCCCCAATGTTCAAACACTGTGTTAGTAATAACTGTCACTATTAATATGCCTTTTAATATCCAGGGAGAAGGAGCGGAGGCAGGAATAGCAGGTGCTCGTCGCTTCTTTTAACATCAGCATCAACAGCAGTAAAATTAGAACTCTGTGACGCCAACCTGCGTCGATGTTGCAACCCAGGGGAGGAAGCAGGCAGCAGTGTATGCCTGAGATAAAGAACAGAGGGAAGGAGGGAACAAAGGAAAAGAAGGAGGGAGAGAGAGAGAGGGAGAGAGAGATGTAGAGAGAGAGAGAGAGGGAGAGAGGAGAAAGAGAGAGAGAGAGATAGAGAGAGAGAGAGAGAGGGAGAGCGAGAGGATGTGAGAGCAGAGAGCTATGATAGCGATATTTAGCGCTAGTCGAGCATAAGAGCGAATTTAAGAGAGTAGAGAGAGCCCCTCTCTCTTCGTCTGCTCTCTCGCGATAGCTGTCTCTCTTCCGCTCTCGCATTCTCCTCTCCGCTCTCTGCTCTCTCGCTCCTCGCTCTCTGCTCTCTCTCCTCTCTCTCCTCTCTCTCCGCGTCTCTCCTCTCTCTCCTCGCTCTCTCTCTCTCTCTTCGCTCGCCTCCTCTCTTCTCTCTCTCTCTCTCACCCTCTCTTCTCTCTCTTCGCTCTCGCTCGCCCTCTCCTCTCTCTCTCCTCTCCTCTCTCTCTCTCTCTAATCTCCTCCGCGCCGCTCTCCTATCGCTCCCCCTCCTCTCTCGCATCGTCGCTCTCTCTCTCTTTCTATTTTCCTTCTTCTTTCCGTGCGTCCGGAGATGGGAGAGCTGAGTTCGTCTCCCTGCCACAACAACAAGCATCTCGATTTGGATCCCATCTCCATTTTCACAGTAAGCCCCATCCTCCTCATTTGACATCTCTTAACTACCAGGAGTCAGGGCATGGACATGGAATTCTTTAGAAATCCAATAAAAAAAATATTAAAAAATCCTCTGTGTCTGTATTTTCTGACTCAATCACAAAATGATACAGTTTGCTTATTATATCAAATAGACACACACTGAGAAACATCTCCTCAGGCCACAGTTGGTAATGCCTCATATATACAGTTGAAGTCGGAAGTTTACATCAGGGTTCTTCAATTCCGGTCCTGGAGGGCCGAAACACCTCTGTTTTTCATCCTCTCCTTCTAATCAGGGGCTAATTCAGACCTGGGACACCAGGTGAGTGCAATTAACTACCAGGTAGAAATAAAAAACAGAAGTGTTTCGTCCCTCCAGGACCGTAATTGAAGAACCCTGGTTTACATACACTTAGGTTGGAGTCATTAAAACTCGTTTTTCAACCACTCCACAAAATTCTTGTTAACAAACTATAGTTTTGGCAAGTCGGTTAGGACATCTACTTTGTGTATGACACAAATAATTTTTCCAACAATTGTTTACAGACAAATTATTTAACTTATGATTCACTGTATCACAATTCAAGTGGGTCAGAAGTTTACATACACTAAGTTGACTGTGCCTTTAAACAGCTTGGAAAATTCCAGAAAATGATGTCATGGCTTTAGAAGTTTCTGATAGGCTAATTGACATCATTTGAGTCAATTGGAGGTGTACCTGTGGATGTATTTCAAGGCCTACCTTCAAACTCAGTGCCTCTTTGCTTGACATCATGGGAAAATCCAAATAAATCAGCCAAGACCTCAGAAAAAGAATTGTAGACCTCCACAAGTCTGGTTCATCATTGGGAGCAATTTCCAAACGCCTGAAGCTACCACGTTCATCTGTACAAACAATAGTACGCAAGTATAAACACCATGGGACCACGCAGCCGTCATACCGCTCAGGAAGGAGACGCATTCTGTCTCCTAGAGATTAACGTACTTTGGTTCAAAAAGTGCAAATCAATCACAGAACAGCAGCAAAGGACCTTGTGAAGATGCTGGAGGAAACAGGTACACAAGTATCTATAGCCACAGTAAAACAAGTCCTATATCGACATAACCTGAAAGGCCGCTCAGCAATGAAGAAGCCACTGCTCCAAAACCGCCATAAAAAAGCCAGACTGCGGTTTGCAACTGCACATGGGGACAAAGATCGTACTTTTTGGAGAAATGTCCTCTGGTCTGATGAAACAAAAATATAACTGTTTGGCCATAATGACCATCGTTATGTTTGGAGGAAAAAGGGGGTGCTTGCAAGCCGAAGAACACCATCCCAACCGAGAAGCACGGGGGTGGCAGCATCATGCTGTGGGGGTGCTTTGCTCAAACTGGTGTGCCTGGCACCTACTACCATACCCCGTTCAAAGGCACTTAAATATTTTGTCTTACCCATTCACCATCTGAATGGCACACATACACAATCCATGTCTCAATTGTCTCAAGGCTTAAAAATCCTTCTTTAACCCATCTCCTCCCC